AACTTAAGGATATCGCCTCCTATGATAATTCTATAAAAGTTGAGCACATAATATTAAGGACATAGTGTCTTCATTTTGGAAATTGAATTCAAAAATTAAGGACACAATGTCCTTAACTTTGATTCTACTGTCCTCATTTTGCAAATTGAATTGAAAAACTTAATGACACAATGTCCTTCACTTTGTTGTTGTTCTTCTGTATACTAAGTCCTGAAGTTTGAGTTTCAAATTGAAAAAGTTAAGGACAGGAAGTCCTTAAGTTTGAATTATAGATTGAAAAGTTAAGGACATAAGTCCATAATTTTTGACTTGCAGGTTAAAAAGTTTAGGACAGCCAGTCCTTAACTTTTAATTCCAAGTTTAAATGTTAAGGACAGACGGTCGTTAAGTTTTGACTTGCAGGTTAAACAGTTTAGGACAGGCAGTCAACTTTTAAATCCAGGTTTAAATGTTAAGGATTGGCAGTCCTTAAGTTTTAATGTCTGGCTCAAAAGTTAAGGACATGCAGTCCTTAAGTTTTAATTCCAAGTTCAAAAGTTAAGGACTGGCAGTTCTTAACTTTTAATTCCATGTTCAAAAGTTAAGGACAGGCAGTGCTTAAGTTTTAATTCCAAGTTCAAATGTTAAGGACTGGCAGTCCTTAACTTTTAATTCCATGTTCAAAAGTTAAGGACAGGCAGTCCTTAAGTTTTAATTCCAAGTTCAAATGTTAAGGACTGGAAGTCCTTAACTTTTAATTTCAAGTTAAAATGTTAAGCACACTTAGTCCTTACCTTGGTCTTGCACTTACAGTACACTTCTTCTTAATTATACAAGGAGTGCTTTATAACGTATGTCCTCAGTTTTCCATTCTCTTGACTTACAGGATGGAAACAATATGCATTATAGTTGATCATCAAACAAAGCTTTTTCTAGTACCTGAGTCAATTCGGTTTGAAGATTTCATTAAACAGATCTTTGAGCTAATTGAATTTGATAGAGAAAAGTTTGAAGCAGTGATATGGTTTGATATCAACCTTGGAACAAGCAAAGGAATGCTTGTATCTAAAGATTCTGATCTTCACACATGTATAGAGTTGCTAAAAACACATTCACTCTTCAAGGGCTGTCGTTTCATAGTTGATATTTCGGAAAGAGTTTTTCCATCAACAAGCAATGAACATGTCAACACAGAAACTCAACATGACAATCAAGACAAATGCCAACAGATAATGGAAATAGATATGGTTGAAGCTCAACCATTAAATGAAGAGGTGCTTCAAACATTTGATTCTATTCAAGTAGAAGGACAAAGCATTATAGAGATTGACAACGAACAAGCTTTGGGTATTCAAGTCTTAGAGAGTGCACCGGTAATCGAAGAAGTTGCTGAAAAAACATGTACTCAAATAACTAGACGAAGATCAAATTTGAAACAAAAAGAATCCCCAACTACGATATTAAGAGAAAATGCTTCGTTGGATGAAATAAAAGTTGGATCAGTATTTGACAAGAAGAAGAATATAATTAACTGTTTTTCCAATATAGCAATCAAAGGACATTTTGAATTCAAGGTTGTTAGATCAAGCTCAACAAGATATTCGTTGACATGCAATGATGATAGGTGTTGTTGGTGTGTGCGAGCTTTCAGAATTAAAGATTCAACACTGTTCAAGATAGTAAAGATTGAGAAAAAGCATGACTGTTCTGTTAACACTGTGAAAGCAGATCAAAGGCATGCTACTTCAAAGTTGATTAGTGGTTACATTATCGACAATCTTCGGGACCCAAGATTTGAAGTTACACCAGCTTTTGTCATGGCAGAGATGCAAAAATTGCATGGACTAGACATTGGATATCACAAGGCGTGGCATGCTATTCAACATGCTTCCGCTTTAATAAGAGGAAGTCCCGAAGAGAATTATGAATTATTGTCTTCATACTTGTATATGATGACAAGTAAAAACCCGGGAACTTATACTAACATAAAGATAGACGACAATAACAGGTAAACAATTTAGGACATGCTATCTTTAACATTGTTAACTTTTGAGTTGTAACCAGAAGTTGAGGACTGGCTGTCCTTAAGTTTTGAACTTGTAATTCAAAGTTAAGGACTGCCAGTCCTTAAGTTTTGAACTTTGAAATCAAAGTTAAGGACAGCATGTCCTTAACTTTATAACTTGGAAATGAAAGTTAAGGACTGCCAGTCCTTAAGTTTTGAACTTTGAAATCAAAGTTAAGGACATTATGTCCTTAACTTTATAACTTGGAAATGAAAGTTAAGGACTGACTGTCCTAAATTTCAGGTATTTTAACCTTGTTTTATATTATTTTTTCAGGTTTGTTTATATGTTTTATGCATATGGATCATCAATAGCTGGTTGGAATCATTGTAGACCAGTGATTGTTGTTGATGCAACTTTTTGAAGTCAAAATATCGTGGTGTTTTAATGATTTCAGTTTCAAAGGATGCAAATAACCAAATTTTCCCATTAGCCTTTGGAATAGCAGAATCTGAAAATAATAATTCCTATGAGTGGTACTTTAGTCAGCTTCGCAATGCAATTGGGAGCCGTGAGAATTTAATTTTTTTATCAGACAGGCATCAAGCTATTGCAAATGGCATTGCAAAGGTATATCCTGAAAGCCATCATGGGATTTGCATCTATCATTTGGAGCAGAACCTAAAGCGAAGGAAGGTGAAAAGTGAGGTCATAAAACTATTCCAAAGTGCTGCAAGAGTATACAAGCGCAAAGAATTTGACCTATACATGTCAGATATAGCAAATGTAGATAAGAAGACTTATGACTACTTGATGGAAGAACCACCGGAAAGATGGGCACGTTCTTGTAGTCCACGACGAAGATATGACATGCTCACAACAAACATAGTTGAGTCGATGAATTCTGTCCTATTAGAAGCAAGAGAGCTGCCTATACTAAGAATGATGGATTTCATTCAAGTGAAGCTACAATGTTGGTTTTATGAAAGAAGAAATAAAGCAGAAGGAACATTTTATGATGTTTCTTGTTGGGTAGAGGAGGAATTGAAGAAAAGAATAGATTTAGCATTTACTTTGAAAGTATTATGTTCTATGTTTATATTATGATTTTAACAATATTTAACATAATGTACTCACTTATAATTTTTCAACATTGAAGGACTTCCCTGTTGATTCATGGCGTTCTAGAGTTGAAGAAGAAGGAATAACTTTCTTGGTGGACTTAAACAAAAGAACATGTGATTGTTTTCAGTTTCAATTTGATGAATTACCATGCATACATGCAATTGCAGCTATCGAGAAGAGAAACATCAAGAAGTCCAACTTTTGTTCGCACTGGTACTTAAAGGAATCTTGGCTAAAAACATATGAAAGACAAATACATCCCGTAGGACATACTGATTCTTGGATTGTACCAGAGAGTGTTAAGTCACAAATTGTTAAACCTCAGATTTCAAAGTGCCACCAGGTAGAAGGCAAAAGAAAAGGCATATTCCTGCTACCGAGCCATCAAAAATAACATTCAAATGTGGTCGTTGCAGAAGAATTGGTCATAATAGAACATCTTGTATATATTCTCCTGCTCTCCATCCATTTTCAAGAAAGCAGAGAGAAGATTAGATATATCCACTTATGTTTATCGACTCTTTTTAGTTTTTGCCATAAATTGGATTCATTTAGATTATTCTTATTTGAGCAGATGTCTGAATTTTGAAAATTTCTTTCTTCTTACCTTGTTTTTGTTTCTTTTGAGTTCAAAGATTAAAAGTTAAGGACAGGAGTCCGTAAGTTCGACTTGCAATTTCAAAACTTAAGGACAGTCTGTCTGTATGTCCTTAACTTTGAGTTTTTAGTTAAAACTTAAGGATAATGGTCCTTAAGTTTGACATGTTGGTTAAAAAGTTATGGACAGGAGGTCCATAACTTATATTTCAAAGTTGAAAACTTAAGGACTCCTGTCCTTAACTTTCATTTCAAAGGTTAAAAGTTAAGGACAGGAAGTCCTTAACTTATAGCTTCAGGTTTAAAACTTAAGGACTGTATGTCCTTAACTTTGAGTTTTATGTTCAAAACTTAAGGACAATGGTCCTTAAGTTTGATTTGCTGGTTAAAAAGTTAAGGAAGTCCTTAACGTATATTTCTAAGCTGAAAACTTAAGGACTCATGTCCTTAACTTTGATTTTAAAGATTAAAAGTTAAGGACAGGAAGTCCTTAACTTATAGCTTCAAGTTTAAAACTTAAGGACTGTATGTCCTTAACTTTGAGTTTTATGTTCAAAACTTAAGGACAATGGTCCTTAAGCTTGATTTGCTGGTTAAAAAGTTAAGGAAGTCCTTAACTTATATTTCTAAGCTGAAAACTTAAGGACTCCTGTCCTTAACTTTGATTTTAAAGATTAAAAGTTAAGGACAGGAAGTCCTTAACATATAGCTTCAATTTTAAAACTTAAGGACTGTATGTCCTTAACTTTGAGTTTTATGTTCAAAACTTAAGGACAACAGTCCTTAAGTTTGTATTATACATTCCAAAGTTAAGGGCAAGCAGTCCTTAACTTTGAGTTATACATTCCAAAGTTAAGGGCAAGCAGTCCTTAACTTTGAGTTCAAAGTTCAAAGGTTAAGGACATGCAGTCCTTAACTTTGAGTTCAAAGTTCAAAGGTTAAGCACAGGAGTCCTTAAGTTTGAAATATAGGTTCAAAAGTTAAGGATATTTGATCCTTAACTTTGAATTCAAAGTTCATTTACACTTGGTCATAAACTAATACTAACAAACTCAATGGACAAATCAACACTTCAGAGAATCAAAGCAATTAATAACATGATACCTTGATATAACTTCTGAAATTGTAATTTGGCATAGCTGTGACAAAAAATTGCGTTATGCCAACAAAATATAAGTACCTTGTTAGGAATTTATAGAATATTTCAGAAGTTTTCTAAACTTGCAAAATTCACATGTATCCTTTACACCAATTTTATACAAAAGATCATCCACAACTTTCTTAAAAACTAAACTACAACTCCTTTGGACAGCAGGTTTCATTTTCACTCTCATAATCATCCCCAACATTTTCTGGTGGAGTGTCGTACCCAGAATTTCTTTTCCATTCACCATGCGCCCAAAGATTTGCAGCAAGTTCTCTTCTGAAGTCTTTTATGTCTTCGGGTTTGAATTGCTCCACATCCTTTGCAATCATCAGTAGCTCAACATATTTGATCAGAAAGGCACCACAATCAGTCCTAAGAGAAATGTAAGATATGCAGTGAATTAAACAATAAATCTAAAGTACATATAAATAATAAAAAAAAATAACAACACGTACGATCCAATTTGGCGTGGTGATCTTTGCCATTGAATATCAAATTTGTTGAAGACATTTCCGAAAGACTTGTGATGTTTGTCAAACTGTGAGAACTTTAGCAAGTGGGGGATCATCCGTGCATACATTTCCATGTGATTAAGTCCTGCCTCATATGGCTCACTGTATATGGAATCGTATACATCAATCTTTTTCTGATTCAAGTCCAACACCCCCAAAAGAAAGTGTGTGACAGCATTATCTTCTTTAGAAGGAAGCCGACATGGAAAAAAGATTTTGTCAACTTGTGTCCAAGCAATTCCACATCTACGGCTGTCTCCCCACACATATGGTGTCAGAAACAACTGATTATCACCAGCACACCAAAAGTCATCAGTAGCATCATCACTGAAATCTTTATACACAAGCACCATGTAGTTATCAAAAAGAATATCAGTAGTTGTGCAACGAAAAGGATGATCGCGAGGGTGGTAGCATTCCTTCTTTCTTAGATAATATAGGGCAATGTCAATATGCTTCATAAAAAGGCAAAAAATAAAACAAATCCATCAGTCATAAAATAATTAAAAAATGATAAATTAAGAATAAAAAAAATAAAAGCCTTGTGAATTATTTCACCTTATCATCAAGTACATAACTGCTATCCGAAAACTCAAGGAAGAACATTTTGCTACTGATTTTTTGATGATACAATTTGTAGGGATTTTTCCTCACACCATTATCATCAGCATATACATCAATTTGTCCCCTGAAAATTTTGAAAATATCAAAGTTAGAATTTAGTCTTGAACATAGACTTTCATGTTGAAAAATTAAGGACAGATAGTCCTTAAGTTTGAATTAGAAGTTCAAAAACTAAGGACAATTGGTCCTAAAGTTTGAGTTTCAAGTTCAAAACTTAAGGACTGTCTGTCCTTAACTTTGGGTATCAAGTTCAAAAGTTAAGGACAGGATGTCCTTAACTTATAGTTTCAAGTTCAGAACTTAAGGACTGTCTGTCCTTAACTTTGAATTCCAAGTTCAAAAGTTAGGGACAGGCAGTCCTTAAGTTTCAATTAAAAGTTCAAAAGCCAAGGACACTTGCTCCTAAAGTTTGAGTTTCAAGATGAAAACTTAAGGACTGTCTGTCCTTAACTTTGAGTATCAAGTTCAAAAGTTAAGGACATGAAGTCCTTAACTTATAGTTTCAAGTTCAAAACTTAAGGACTGTCTGTCCTTAACTTTGAATTCCAAGTTCAAAACTTAGGGACAGGCAGTCCTTAAGTTTGAATTAGAAGTTCAAAAGCTAAGGACACTTGGTCCTAAGTTTGAGTTTTCAAGTTCAAAACTTAAGGACTGTCTGCCCTTAACTTTGGGTATCAAGTTCAAAAGTTAAGGACAGGATATCCTTAACTTATAGTTTCAAGTTCAAAACTTAAGGACAGACAGTCCTTAAGTTTGACTTGAAGGTTCAAATGTTAACGATAGGTAGTCCTTTACTTTGAATTACAAGTTCGAATATTTAGGACACATGGTCCTCAACTTTGACTTACAACTTCAAATGTTCAGGAGACTTATTCCTAAAATTAGTCTTACAATCACAGAAGTTAAGGACGTAGTGAAATACATGAAGGCACTTACTCTTTTTTGCGACCTCTCCTTTTCTCCTTGCGCAACCACGCAATGAATTTCTTCATTAATTTTGCATCTTCTGCGGCATAATGAAAAATACACCTACGAGTATATGTTGATTTTATCCAGCCTGAACTCTTCGGAGTATTTTGATCATCTGACTTCGAAGTTCCCGCTTTTCTTTCCTGATCAAAAGGAGATTTCAACTGCCAGCTTAGCTTCTTGTACCTTTTACCTCGACCAAGCTCTTCTTCAATATTTCCTTCAACCTCCATAGTCAAAGCCCCATCAATGCTCATTTGTGTACTTGGAGGAGTAGGAGAAAGAATAGCAAATGACGGACCATCATAACCAATACCGTCTCTCTTTCTTTTCCTCGTATTTTTGCTAACAGCTTCATCATTGTTGTCCTCCGCCAGCAACTCTATAATATATATATATATATATATATATAATATATAAGTTAGTTTGCTGCAACTCGTCAAATGAAGAGACAAAATTTCAATATGAATATAATATTTAGGACACAATCAGTACCTGTCTTCTGCACACTACCTTCTTGTATTTTTTCAAGAGACAATTCAGCTAAGATATTGCTTGCATCATTTTCTTTTTCTCCCTATTGCACATTTTCATCATCTTGCAATTGTTCACTCTGTGCTTCAGTTGCTTGTTCACAAGATTCTGCAAAAATATTTACAAGAGCTAACACAATTAGTACTTGTTAATAATCTTTGATAAAACAAACATATATAAAATAAAATAAAATACTGTTTAACCATTAAGGACTGCTTGTCCTTAACTTTTGCACTTAAAATTTGAAGTTAAGGACCAAGTGTCCTTAACTTTTCAACTTCAAACTATAAGTTAAGGACTGCACTTCCTTAACTTTTGCACATGAAACTTGAAGTTAAGGACCAAATGTCCTCAACTTTTGAACTACAATTTTGAAGTTCAAGACCTATTGTCCTTAACTTTTGAACTTCAAACTTTAAGTTAAGGACTGCTTGTCCTTAACTTTTTTACGCGACACTTGAAATTCAGAATAACATAACACTACCTTCTTGTATTTTTTCAAGAAACAATTCAGCTAAGATATTACTTGCATCATTTTCTTTTTCTTCCAATTGCACATTTTCATCATCTTGCAATTGTTCACCCTGTGCTTCAGTTGCTTGTTCACAAGATTCTGCAAAAATATTTACAAGAGCTAACACAATTAGTACTTGTTAATAATCTTTGATAAAACAAACATATATAAAATAAAATAAAATACTGTCTAACCATTTGCAATAGTCAAGATCATCCCAATTATATCATTATCTTCACTAGCATTTTCTTCGGTTCCAATATCGTCGTTAAGAGAGGGAGGTCTAGAGATATCACATGTTGCATTTATGCATTTGGAACCAATCTCACTTCTGCTTGTTCCTTCAGTATTTTGTACGTCTTGAGATTGTATTCCACTTTTCTCTTGATACTCCACTCCAGCTTCTTCCCTTCCAGCTTCAAAAGATTCTGTAACATTTGCAATTAATACCCATTCTAATAATTCACTGAAACTAACATACAATATATAATGAAAATTTTATCTAACCATGATTGGCACAACTTTGAAATCCAAATTTTTCTTTGTATGACAGAGGTGTAGAAAGATCATATGTTCCTTCTAAGCATTTGCATACAATCCCGCTGACACTTGTTCCCAATGGACTTGATAAATCCTCCTGAGATTGCAATCCACATTTACAAATTTTTTCTGTTTCTCCTTTCTCTGTTTCTCCTTTCTCTTTTGGATTTTCCCGGTCTTGAAATTCACCTACATCTTCAACTTCCACTCCATCAGTAGATTCTACAAATATTTGTAATCACAAAAAAGTTTATATGTATTTCTCTATTCAATATAAATTTCAAAAAAAAAAAATTCAAAATCTATATCTAACCTTTCCCAATATCAGTAACGTTCTCAGTTTCATCATCTAGATGTGCATCTCTAAAATCGCTTTCATACTGCACTTCTGCATCCACATCCATATCATCACGTTCATCACCGCCTGCATCTTCGTTGATTGTAACAATAGGCTCTGTAGCACGACAATGATCATCAACTCCATCTTTTCTAATTGGAACACTAGATTCTCTATCTGTGTTCATTTGATCAGCTTTCCCAAAAATGTTCAACAAAGTATCAAGCTTTGATCCTAGAGTTTTCTTTAAATCCTGAGAAAGAAACTAAGTTAGAAAGTTAAGGACAGGTTCAAAATTTAAGGACAGGCAGTCCTTAAGTTTGATTTACAGGTTGAAAAGTTAAGGACATGCAGTCCTTAACTTTGAATTCCAAGTTCAAAACATAAGGACAAGAAGTCCTTAAGTTTCATTTCCAAGTTCAAAAGTTAAGGACAGGCAGTCCTTAACTTTGAATTCCAAGTTCACAAATTAAGGACAAGAAGTCCTTAACTTTGAATTCCAAGTTCAAAACTTAAGGACAAGAAGTCCTTAAGTTTCATTTCCAAGTTCAAAAGTTAAGGACAGGCAGTCCTTAACTTTGAATTCCAAGTTCAAAAGTTAAGGACAAGAAGTCCTTAACTTTCAATTCCAAGTTCAAAATTTAATGACACAAAGTCCTAAAGTTAGACTAACTGAAAATACCATGATTTCATTCTCAATCTTTTTTTCTGCTACAGCTATTTTCTGATAAACTCTAGTAACTTCAGCTTGCAAATCCTTCTTAAAACTCTCTGATAATCTCTGAATCAAAAAAACATAAAATAAAAAAAAAGTGTTCGTAAGTAAGAAATAATCAAATAAAAAACTAATACTATTCAAAGGCAGAAACACATACTCTAACAATTTCCTTAAGTATGGCTTCGTCAAATTGTGTGGAAGAAGACCTTGAGCTTTGATCTTGTGAAATTGGATCCTCCACACTAAGAGGCTCTGTATCTTCTTCTTCAACAGGAATGAATGGTGACACCTCGATCAACTTAAACAACTATTATATAAGAAAAAGTAAACATAAGTATTCACAACTAAAACAAATAAACAAAAAAATAGATAGTGATTACATTAACTTACATTTTCATTATGGAAATATTTTCTACAAAGAGCATCAAACTGTGGAGACTTCATTTCAGAATAACATAACATCCGAGGATAACCAGATTCTTTGAAGTTCACAAATTGTTTTTCTTGGAAAATAGGAAGTACTTCCATAATCCAAACACAAAAGGCAAAAGGAAAGCCAACTATAGTGTAGCTATCCTTCTCTTTATCTTTGTCTTTCTCCTTCTCAATCTCATTCTCATTTGGCTTCAAACAACTCTTCAATGATTTTAATAGCGTCTCATAAGAAAGAGAGCCCCAGTTGAAGGAAGAGCAGAGTGCGTCATCGTCGACAATTTTCATTATCTGATCGGACACATTCCTATTCTTCCGCTTGCCCATCAAAACAGATTCAACAAAATAGATTGTTGCCAACTTCAAAGCATCATCATCGCTGCCAACAAATGATGAAGCTGTACCATGTGGGTGACTAGAAATAAAACTAAACAAATCACCCAACTCAATTCTATCCTTTCCAGGGAAATAGACTCTTAAAAGCCTATTCTCTTTCTCATGTAAACCTTTGATGTCGAGCGACGAATAAGACTTCAAACCAGTAATTATGTGAAATGCGTCACGGGTAAACTTAATTTCACGATCAAATACCTTGAATGTCATTGAATCAGGTTCATTATTTACAATTTCTGAAAGCAATATACAGTGAATAAGTTTACCAGAGAACTTTACACTTTGTAATCGGAAGAAGTTGCCAAAAATACCATCCCTCAATTTCTTCCACTGGCTATTCGACAAAAAACCTTTAATTGTTTCCTTATATTGTAAATCTCCTTTCCAATACACCATAAAATTACGCCAATCATCAAACTCGAACACACGATCTCCTTCCATTATCACACTACAAAAGAAGGAAAAAGAAAACAAAGATTAGGACTTACAGTTAGTTGCAGGGACTTGGTCCTTAACTTCAAGTGTCACATACAAAAGTTAAGGACAAGCAGTCCTTAACTTAAAGTTTAAAGTTCAAAAGTTAAGGACAATAGGTCCTAAACTTCAAATTTGTAGTTCAAAAGTTAAGGACATTTGGTCCTTAACTTCAAGTTTATGTGCAAAAGTTAAGGACAATCAGTCCTTAACTTTGAGTTCCAACTTCAAAATTTAATGTCTTTTCTTTCTTATATTTCAGGAACACAGTTAACTAAAAATTCATAAACACAGTAAGCTTATGAATTTCTACGACTATTTTTATGAAATATACCTACATAATCAAATATATTGAATCAACCACAAACACATTTCACATTTCAACCCTAAAAATTTCTGAATAACACAATCACACTACATCTCCGACACTGAATCAACATATAATGATCATTTTTTGCAATTTCAAACATACTTCACACGGCATTGAACCCGATTACACATTTAGAAATACAAAAATGCATAAAAAAAAATACATTACCAGTAGCGAACGATTCATAGAAGATGGCGGAGAAGATGAAGGAGCAGGAAGATTAACTGAAGATCCTTTGCATGCGAGAGGATGATGAAGAAGCAGAGAATACGCAACTTGCCCTGAAACCCCTCTCAAATTCTTTTCCCTCGACTGAATGAAAAAAAGGGTTTTTGGGCATTTTGGCATTATAAGCGCATTGAAGAAAGGGTAAATGTGTCTTTTCCCTATTAGTAGTGGCTATTTTTGCTGAGCATTGTAATTAGTGGATAAAAATTAAAGACACCCTTAATTAGTGGCTACTACACGCCATTTCTACCCACTTTGCATAGTGTTTCCAACATCCAAAATGGGCTGAAAAGTGTGTAATGAAGCCCAATAATACATTCCAAGAACTTTGTCACCTCACCCTCGATTGAATCCATACAAATGATACCAGATAGTCATTCTAGAGGGCTGTTATTTAAAAATTAGTCAATATATCCTGAATTTTTGTTGTTCAATTTAATTTTTTAGGACACAAAGTCCTGAAATTAAGATTTTCAATTCAAATTTTCAGGACAAAATAATTATTGGCTAATCCCTAAATAACAACCCTAAAAATGGCTATTTGTGTACTTCCCCCGTTGGATTCAGTATGAACTTGCAAAAGTGCGTCTTTCCTGACATTTGGGTTTGCTTAGTCTCCGAAACATAAAAAATAATTATGCATTTCAAGCAAGTTGTAATTAAGTGCGATCTATGAATTTGCACGGTAAATGACGTCCTATTTAAGTCCATCTCATT